ATACTTTTTTTTATAACAGGCTCTCATGGAGGACTTTATACTAAAGTATTTATTTCTTAGCAGGCGGCAGGTTATCTTGATTATCAATGAAAAAGCTAATTTGAGGGGGAGCCATAGGCATGAGCTTCTCTTTATTTTCTTGCAAAAGTTCCCAAACACATTTAACTGACATCCACATTGAGAAATCCACAACGGAAAGAAAAGCTCCAGATTGCTGTCAACTTTAGTTTTTTTTCTATTCCGTTCCAGTATTCTGGGTCTAACCACAGGTTTTAACAATTCCTCTATTTTAAAGCTGGGCGTGGTGGTGCATGCCTTTAGTCCCAGCAATCAGGAGGCAGAGGCAGGCAGCTTTCTGTGAGTCTGAGGCCAGTCTGATCATAGTGAATCCAGGCCAGCACTGGCTAAAGGGAGACCCTATCTCAAAAAGACCACTTTGACATGCATTTAAGCAATTGAATACAATGTTTACTGTTTTGAGACTGTGCCCCACTGTTATCCTGGTTTCCTTGAATTTTCTAGTTGCTACTCATGGTGGTGACTCTGTGAAGCACAGCACCAGTCTGCTGTTTGCAGTTTCCCTTCTCTGGTTTACTTTCTCTGTTTCATTTTCTCCTCTCTTGGCAGACCTTCCCTTCGTGCCCCACAGTCTGGCACCACTCTGCTACAGTTGGGCACCACTCTGCTACCTCCTGCATATGTGGCTGAGTAGTGCCGTACACCTAGATTTCACATAGATTTCATCTAATCAAAGTGTAAACATAAGGGACACTGCACCTCAGAACCTGAGGCTGCATATGTGCCTACCTGGCCTCTGCCATCCTAGGCTATCTTGGCTACCGTCCACTTTGCACATGTAGTCAGACATGCTTTTCTGCAGAGTTCCAACAGGGCAGTGGCCTCCAACAATTTTGAAGTTTATATTTAACAAATGTCGTATATAACATTGCAAGAAACTGTACAAGTAAGGACACTGTGATGAATAAGACCCTGTGACACATCAGCATCAGTGGCTTGGAGCAGAGGCACAGCTCTGCTGCTGCTGCCCACAGCAGCCTTTAGGGACTTGGACTTACTTCAAACCAGATCCTTGACTTGCTGTAGAAAATTTCAGTAAGAGCCAGTATGAAGCTGTATTACAGTTTATTAAAAGAGCTAAGAGCGGGGCTGGATGCTTCTTGAAGACTTACGCTTTCTTGGCATCAGCTGTATATGCCATTTTGGTGATTCACAAGTTAAATCTCAAAAGTGTTGCCAGGAGACTTTTTTCTCCCTTTTTCTTTTTTCCTCTCTCGTTAATCAATGATATTGTAGGATGACTCTGGGAGGGCCTTGGATGGGGGTGCAAAGACAGCACATAAACTCCAGAGCCACTACAGTTGCACAAGAGGGTTAGGACATGTCATAATATCCTGAAGATGGCTTCCAGTGATAATCCTGGAAAACTGCAGGTTTATGCCTCAGAAGGGAGAAGGGTAGTAAGTGGTTTTGTTAATTCTGTTGTTTTTCTTGATTGTCCAGGCTTCTTTCCCTTCCCACATCCCCCTAATTTCCCCTGTCTTTTTAACCTGCCTCCTTACCAGTCCAGATCAAATAATGGATGTTCTCAGTGTGTGTGTGTGTGTGTGTGTGTGTGTGTGTGTGTGTTTGTGCACACGTGCACAACACTAGTCATTGCATAATATGCAGACACCATAGTGCCACTCACTCTTAAGTTCAGCTTCCAATCTTACAGTCAAGCTCTCCTTTTGTCTCCTCCCTGTTCAGAATCATTTCTGTACTTTGTCATTTTGGTTCAGCCCCACCTCAGGAGTCAAGGTGGTCAGTTTTCTTCACCATTGTCTGCTCAAGTTTTATTCACTGTAATGTTACTCAAACAAATGGAGAAGGAATAAGTATATCTACAGACTCCTCATCCCCTGTTTCATCTATTTCCATCTCAATTTCACCTAAATCTTTGTATTCTTGGATGGCAGGCAGAGTTAGATTCATCCAGCATTCTACAAGGCTGATTGAGACTAAAGCTTCTGACTGTGGAGAGCTATAATGTTACGTGTTGTGAGCCAAATTAGTCTAAAGTATCTTTAGCCCCTAAAATAGTCATTTATTGCTGTGACTGTGGAGAGCTACAATGTTACAAGTTGTGAGTCCAATTAGTTTGAGATATCTTTAGTCTCCTAGGCAGTCATTTATTGCTCATCTCTGTGTGTGACCTAACAATCTCCTGACTATCAGGTAAGTCCTTTGGGAATGTACAAACAGAACCCTTAACTTCTACCACCCAAGGGCTAAGAATGTCATCTGATAGGTCCGTAGCAGAGACTCCCCACCTCTCTTGTAACCTACCCA